AGGTAGGTTGGGACAAAAGTCTGTGAGTGGCCCAAAGTCACCCAGTTGGCTCCATGACTGAGCAGGGACTAGAACCCAGGTGGCCTGAGTCCCAGTCACACACTCTTAACTGCTATACCACACTGGCTGAATATAATAGACTCATATGCCTGGAAGGAGCCTAGAAGGCCATTGGGTACAACTTTCCTGCTCAGTGCAGAACTCAAGTCTCCCATTCAGATACTAATCAGGTCTGACTCCACTTAGGTTCCAAAATTAGGCAGGATCAGGCACTATAGGCTATATAGAAGCAATAATTGTTATTGTTTTAATTTATTGTGTATTTTATTCTATGTTGTGAGCCGCCCCGAGGCTTTGGCAAGGAGCAGCATAGAAATGTTTTAATACATAAATAAAAATAAATAAAGATCAAAACCAGCACCTTGAATTGAGTCTGGAGCCTGGGGTCTGACGAGATGGTTCAGGAGACCCTTTGTGACTCTCTGTGTTTCTATGTTTCTATGAGTCACAAAGGTGAACTGACACTGTGATTGTATTAAAATGGTGGTGTGGAATATGTGACCTGCAGGCCTACTTGGGCCATGGAGGAGCTGCATCATGCTTGCATGGCATGAAAGCGTTGAGTCAAGGCTATCAACTGCTGAACAGGATTCTGGATTTTCAAACACTCTTCCAGAGCAGCTACATGTATAATTATAGTGATCTAATCTGGCAGTCGGTAAAGCAGAAAATGGCACAGAAGTCCCCAACATGGTATCACCCAGATGATTGGGATTACAACTCTCATCATTCCTGGCTGTTAGACAGGCTGCCTGGGGCTGAGGGACACTGAAGTCCACAACAACTGAAGCGCACCATCTTGGGGAAGCAACTGTTGTGTCTGGGTCTCTATCTTTGTTCCACCAGGCATAGTCTTGGCCGCCAATTTCCATCACTTTGAGAGGGGATTGGGCAAATACCTGAAGAGGAAGGCTATGCATGGCTGCTACTGCTGGCCCCATGCTGCTTCTAGGATCAGAGACAGTAGGCCTGTGTACACCAGTGGCTGGGAACACGGGGGGAACTATGCTGTCACACTCATGTCCTGCTGGTGGGTTTCCCCTGGACAGCTGGTTGGCCCCCATGTGGAAAGAATGCTGGACTCTTGGTCTGATCCAGCACCAGGGCCCATTGCATGCCCTGATGTTCTTCCAGAAGTAGTGGGCATGGCCAGCACATCACCTGAACCTGGAAAACGGTTACAGCAGCTACCTGGGGTGAGCAGTCCAAATGCCTTTCCTGTTTAAGAGGAATTCATGAGATATTAATGTGCAAACAAACCCAAAACCAGCTGTAACCCTTCCACAAGTTCTATACTGAAGTACCTACTCACCCACAAGGGAACAAGAAGGAACACTTAGCATTACCTAATCAGAAAAAAAGGTGGCTTGCCTCTAAGAAGACTCCATTCAGGTAACAAGTTTCAACTGCACAGAAACACACTCCTTTCTCAACCTTTCCCTTCAGTTCCTAGAAACTTACAAGTTCATGTTTAGCACTTCCTTATATTTCCTGGTTGGCTCTAGGCCAGAAAGATCAATGGCACAGGTCTGCTTGCTCAAGCTTCATTTATTTACAGTTATTTTCAAATTAGGCGAAAAGATTATTTCTGGTGATCTGCTGTACTATGAGCTGCAAATACAGCAGAGGTCTGGCCTCAGCTGAGTGTATTGCTTGCTTTGGTTTGCAGTGTTATTTCAAAAGGGTGTTATTGTGAAGGCTGACAGTTGTATAACATGTAAGAGATGCATTGATCTGTGAAAAATTGAAATACCCCTCAGCTAAATAATTGCATTTCTAAGAGTGCAATGCTATGCATGTTTAGACAGAAAAAAGTCCAACAATTCCCAGTCAGCAGTGTGCTTTTTAGGCTTTTTTTCCTGGCCAACATTCATAGCATTACTCCCTAAGTCACTTAAGAACTTTTTGCATTTTAAAAAGTTCAGGGGCATTTCAACAGCCAAGACCTGGACATTATACTTTAGTAACAACAATGTCTGTGTTAAGTTTCTAGTAAATCTTGCCATAGGATGTTTTTACTGGTTTTACTAAGCTGCCCTTGGGAGCCTTGTTGCCTGAAAAGCAGTGTAAAATGCTTTAAATAAATGCATATTGTTCATACATGCACCTTCACTGAATGAGGAAACAGAGCTATAAAATTCCTTTTAAAATGTGAAAGGAAATAAAAATGGTGATGTAATCAGCAAATTAAAATGATAATGGCAGTCCAAGGATCCTCAGTTGTGAATTAATGCCACAGTATATTAAAAAAAACTGTTTACTGTGAACATTTAGGGACATTGATAAAAACAGCCTTTTCCATGCTTCACTCATACTATTTTATTTATTTAGGAATGGTACTTAATAGCTTTTAGAGTAGTCTGTGTGTTCCACAAAATCCTTGCATGCACATGCAGTGCCACCTGGTGGCCAAATTATGTAATGCTTTCAACTTTGTTCGGGATGCGACAAATAACACCTAAAGATACAAATATGTGTGTGTTCACTGTCAGCCAACCATAAAATGCTGCTCCAAATGGAAGTCTTCCATCACCCCTGCTACATGATCAGGCCTTCTAGTTAACCTCCATCACAAGCAGTCTTCCAAAGCCATTGAACATGTACTCAGAATATCCTTACTGCAGCAAACCGCACTTGCTTGGGATCAAGACACCTATGTACAGATTAGCCCCGAGTTATGCAGTACTGTGCCAATGGATGCAATAATGCCTTGATGTTCTCCGACGGTCACCTCCCCTCCTGATATTTTATTTTTTTAAAACAAACCTGTGCAGAATTCAGAGGTAAGAATTCTGACTGCTTAAGTGGAGCTATATCGTATCTATTCTGAAATAATTATATTGACTGCCTGTTTCCAGACTTAATTCAAAGCACTGGTCCTTCCTCTTGAAGCTCTAAGGGGTTTATGCCCTAAATACCTGAAGCGCCTAAATACTCTTCCAAACAAATTTCCCCATGCATTAAACCTATCAGGTGAGCTCCTTCTATGTCATCATTAGGGTGTACGCACACCGGAAAGGTCCTTTTCTATTCTATTATCTCAGCTAATTTGACTGGCACCAAGATAATATTTCTGACACTTGGTTGAAATATTTTTTCTATGCCCAGGCATATTAATGTGGTCACACTGTTTTACTAGTGATAGTTTTATTATGTTTAATAGGCTTTAACAATTAAAAACCCCTCTTTTTGTATTTAAACTGTTGGTTCTTTGTTTAGCATCAGTACAATTTTAGGCATTTTGGAGTTTAGGAGTTGTAGTAGCTTAGTTCAGGGGCTGGAGGGGCCATTACTGGGGTGATAAAGGGTAGAAGCTACTATGGTTATCAGGGGGCAGATGCATCAGATGAGAAGCCATGGATAACCTAATTCCCTGCTGCACCATCTTCTATTCTGTGTGTTATAGTGGTCCCTGCAAGCCCTAAGCTACTGCTAGGAAATGCCAGACCAGCTAATGAAATCTCTCTGATTTTATCCAGGAAGATATGCCAGGATCACCTCTTTAAATGAAATCTGGGTAGCTAAAGACAGAAGGGCAAATCTCTCCCAGAAGTCTGCACCAGATTACCAACTTCAGCAAGAAGCAAGCCAAAACTACTGCAATAACACATAAAAACCTTGAAACATTCCCAAGAAAATTGATTATTTGACACTCTTTAGGATTGGAGCACAAGTGAACGTTAAAGCAGAAGTGGGGGGCTGGAAGGAGGACTGTAAGTTGAACATTCATCTCCATCATGTTCATGTTCTGAGTCCTTTATTTCCCTACCCCACCCCCATCGAATCGCTTTCTTTTATTTCCAATGAGCACTGAAGGATTCAAGACTTCTCAGAAGCTTTCCGTGCTATCAATCATGATGAATCCATCTGGACTTGTCCAGGATAGCAACTAGGGATACTGTATTCCAATGGTTCTGTTCCTACGTATACAAGCACATTAAGGACAAGGGGTTCTTCTTCTTTTTATATGTTCCATTACACAACCACAAAGTGGTTCTGCAGTATAGTGCAATTGTGAAAATACCTCAATTCTGCAGCGTTTTATAGCATGCTAGCCTGCAAGATCAAGCCCATCAGTCCTAGAGGAGATCAACCCTGATTGCTCTTTAGGCCAGATACTGAAGATGGAACTCAAATACTTTGGTCACCTAATGAGAAGGAAGGACTCCCTGGGGAAGAGCCTAATGCTGGGAACAATAGATAGCAGAAGAAGAAGGGGACGGCAGAGGATGAGGTGGCTAGATGGAGTCACGGAAACAGTTGGCATGAGCTTAAGTGGACTCCGGGGAATGGTGGAGGACAGGAAGGCCTGGAGGAATGTTGTCCATGGGGTCGCAATGGGTCCGAAGTGACTTCACAACTAGCAACACAACAAAAAAAAAAAGCCCATTGCCAGTTCATTATCCTCATTCTAAAAAAAAAAGGCATGGAAATGGTCAGACAGAACAAGAGAGGCTCTAAGAGGATGCCAATTATCATGTGAAGCACCTGTAAACTACCTTTAGTGAGAAAACATTAGCACAATACATGCCTTGTGGACAGAAGTCCTACCAGTGCAATCCTAGGTATATCTATTTAGAAACAAGCATCGCTGAGTTCAATGAAATTTGGCTCAGCTAAGTAAATCTAGGATTGCAACCTATAGACACTTACCGAGGATATAAGCCCAACTAAACTGAAGGGTCCAATGTAACACAGGATACTGCTTTAAGTTTGAAATCCTACACCCTGTTAACTGGAAGTAAGCCCAAGTAAGCCCTCTAAAACCACATACAGAATTGCTCAAAGTAATGGGAACTGAAACTATTAAAGGTAGGAAGTAGAGACAAGCCTTCATTGCTTCACATTAGTGGAAGAAAAAAAGGCAAGTATCCATTTGAGGTTAAGCACTCAAAAGCTAAGAATACTAGCGAAAGAGAACACTGTATAAATGCACAGGATAGTTTTGTAGAAAAGATGTTTAATATGTCTTATTTTCATATTTTTAAAGAATTACTTTCACACAATAACAGGTTTTCTTTTGTACATATGTTTCTCTTAGTCTATTAGAATGGATATCAAAGTTAATGTTGCCTAGGACTTTGCTTTGACAGAACACAATGCCCCAATTCAGAGAAGCCAATCCATCTGCAGATGTAGGTACGCTCTGCTGCCTTCACAAAAGGCTGATGTGGAAAGTGACAAACCTAACTCAGCATCCCAACTTACACGAAAGATGGTCCATCCCCACATGTGCACCACCCTGTATGTTGCACAGCACCAATCACCTGTGAAGAAGGGGTGGGGATAGAGGAGGAGGAGCCCAATTTCAAGAATCTTCCACAACTTTCCAACTGTGCATCCTCCAATCAGTGCTGTCACCTTGGACTGGCTTTTCAAGAGGTCAGCAGAAGAGGTTGACTTCCGTTTGCTGGATCAGATCCACCGTATTCACTGGCAATCATCAACAAACACTTCTTTCCATTTACAGACATGAAATGGCTCAATTTATATTATCCCCCTCCTTTTTTCAATATAACTTAACTCATAAGAGGATACAGTAAACCATGGTGTTACAAGGTAGTACAGAATTATTGTTTAACTTGACTCATGGGGGAGAGTGGTGGTTTTACATTTTAAGCTTCATACAGATATGCCTAAATAACACTTTAGAATATTTTCTTCTTTTCTACATTCAAGAAAAATAGACACAATTCTGTTAACAAAGCCAACCAGCAGTGACAAATGTTGCTATTCATATGGAGAGAAAAAAGGAGAAATCAGTTCTTTTCTTAGGATGCTCTCCTCTTCTTATCTTCAGAAAGGAAGGGTAGGACTGTGGAGTTTTTGCCGTCCATTCCTCTTCATGAAAAGAGAAGCAAATCCAATCTGTGCTTTGTGGCAGTCACAAAAAGGCACTAACCCATTAAGTAGCCCCTAAGAGAAAAAGAAAGATTGGAAGGGGTATGGGGAGAGAGGGGAAAGGCAAAAAAGAAATATTCTGTGGATCAGTACTGGGGAACTTGGGTCTTCCAAACGTTTCTGAACTCTAAGTACCATTAACTTAAGTCATCATGACCAACAGTCAGGATCATGTGAACTGCAGAACAGGAGCACTGGAAAGGCCACAGTTTCCTGGCATGGACAGACATGAACTAGAAGGGCTGGAATCAACCATATATAGCAGATACATCTGTGTAAGAAAATAGGAAACCAACAGGGGAGTGATGACTGCATGTACACATGCCTACAACCTAGGATAAGCCATGTGATTTACACATTCAATACTCTGAATTATGTTTTGCCTGATAAATGTCCCTTGGTGGACCTCAAAGCATCCTGATTTTCCTTAAAACTTTTATTGACAAAAACGCTCAGCCTCAGACTTCCCATCTGGGGATAATATCCAACTATTTGGATTGGGTTACTTATAGTACCTTACAGGGTAATAACTGACTGTAGTATTTATATAGCAATTTCTCCTGTTGTTACCTCTCAGAATGCAGACACTGTATTAGAACAATTTTCTAATATCCCTCTACTCATACAGCTATGCAATATCACTGACTTGTTATTTTAGGTTATTTTTCTCTTTAGAAGAAAGATTTGAGAAGAATTTGAAAACAACTTCTGTGACTTTAGCCCAGGTAGTTTTATTTGTCCTTAAGCCCCAATTGTGCTTGCAGTTTATACTGAAGATTAGAAAGAAGGTTTATCACAGAAGAAGTCACTTACGGTAATTTCATCCGCATGAACACTCTGGCCATGAAGAAACTTAACAGGACACTGACAAATCCAATAAAAAGCAGCAGAAATCTATTCAGCTTTGGGATGTTTGGTGCATTGGAACGATCCAATATTATAAAGCCAAGGCCTCCCATTGTGAAGAGGAAGCTGGACGCAAGCCCTTCCATAATGTACTGCCCATTTACTCTGCATACAAAATGAGCAAACGTTAAAAGTAAAATAAAGAAGAGGGTTATTTCTGTTGAACAGTAGTGTTAAACATTATCAGGTATCCTGTTGTTTCCAGGTATCCAGGTATATGGAGTTGTTAGTATGAGCATATAAAATATATAGAAACACATATATCAGTAATCCTGTGGCTCAGAAGGCAAAACAAGAACAAAATTCTTAGTTCCATGTTGCCTGGAATCTTGACCCTGTTGAATGGCATTAACTCTGTAAATCCATTACAAAGTTAATGCCATTCAACAAAGATGTGAACTCCCTCACAGTGGAGACAGTGCCCTTATTTAGGGCTCTATAATTTAGTGTGGACTAAACCTATCAAACCACAGCAGATCCCAAAAAACAAGAGGTATTCCTTTCACCTGGCCATGGTTTTGCTATCAAATCCAGAGTCTTTCCAAGAGTCTTGTCAAAGTTGCCAATGGGCACTAATTTACAATCACTACTTCTACTTGCTGTCGCCTCACTTCTTCTTCATATAAGTCACTACTCCCCAAAGCAGATAGCCCTACTACTCACACAGCTTGCATTTAATAACTTACTTGGTGGCCACAGGAGATTGGAGGTAAGCAAGTGGGCTGTTTTCTCCATTGCTAACTAACTGTGCTGCCCAAGCAGATACAGACTACTCCATTTCCCATACACTTGGTGTGACACACATACACAAGATATTAGTTGCCTATATTTCAATGCTACTCATTTTTTAGCAGGCTAGTAACTTTTGTGAACTTTTTTAGAACACTGAACTGTGATGATGCTTCTTCAGAAGGCTGTTTTACTTCAGATGAAAGCAAATGAAAGCTCCCCTGAGCCCAGAATACCATGTATTCTACTATCCAGACTAACATAAAAACAAAGGTTCATTGTCAGAATACCCTTTAGTAAACTTTGGAACTGGAATTTATGCTAATGTAAAGCATTTTTTACCTGTAAGCCAAGAATGCCACAGGCCTTTGATGTCCATGCTCATCTGTCATTGAGCCAACACTGGGAGGTTCTACAATCACATCATAAATTATTCCTATAGAGGAAAAATGAACATTTAATTTGAAAAGGATATCAACTTATTCTTAACCTTATATGATTTAACTATCAAAAGCTCTTCATTTGGAGATGAAAAAACACCCACCAATAGATGAGGCTTTAAGTGTTTTCTAGCATGGTAATAAAGATGGCTGCATCACAGGACCACTATGGACCCTGTTATAGTTACTGGAACCTGTCAGGAATTTTCTAGGGGCTTTTGAGTTAAGCTTCTTGGTATACAGACACACACAGGGACACTAACTTTATGTATTACACATTATGTGTTCTATTAGGATATGAAATAACTGAAAGTAGAATAATGATATTGTGCAGATTAGCCTCATCTGCACATCAACAAGACTGAGAAATTGTAACATTTTACACAGCCTGTATATGTTGCAGTACTGTGAAATAAACAAAACTGAACATGGCCAAAGAAAGATAAGTTAACTTCTGAAAGACTGGCCATAAAAACAAATTCTGAAACACAGAGGAGGCATGACCACATATGAATTAAATTATGAAGCACTGACAGCTTTGAGCTGCCTAACTCTTAGTTGGAAAACATTGGCAAAGGAGAAAGAAGTGTCACAGCAGGTATATCAGACAAAGAAGGGCTTAAGATCTTCCCTTTAACCATGAAATTCTCTTGATTTCTAGAGTTGAACTATCATTTTTCAGTGCACTCCACCTTTTTTTGGCAAAGTAAGCTCTGCAAAACTAATCCACAGTGTGCCTCGCAGGGTGCATTGGTCTGTCATGTGATCTCACCCAGTTCTGATGAGATACAGACAGAGATGAGATACAGATACAAAAACATTCTGTATTTTTGGCAAATGATTTCCTAAAGCAACATGGGTATTAGAAGATGAGTATCTGTATGAATACAGACTTTGTACGATGTGTTCAGTCCACAACTCCCATAATCCACAGCCAAGTTCCACCCCAGTGAGCACAAATGTAATATATATAAAGTAGCCAATGAGTTCTGTCTCCTATTTAAGGGGCATATGATCTACGATGAAAAATGTATTCCCAACAAGTTGCAGAAGCATGCTGGCTGGGATGATGGGAGCTGTAGTCCCAACATTCCTGGGAGGCGCCATGTTGGGATAGCATGCTGGCTAGGGATGATGGGAGCTGTAGTCCTAAAACCCCTGGAAAGCGCCAGAGTGAGTAGGACCCCTGTAATGAGGAATTACCTCCGGTGATGAGGAAGTACGAGACCACCACCAGCGCGTAGACCGTCATAGCCGAGGGCATGTGCACCCAGCTCGGCCGCTTCAGCTTGATGTTGGGGCACTCCAGCACCGCGAACGGCACCCGGTACAGCGTCTCCATGTCGACCGCGGTTCCAGCCTCGTCCCGTCCCGACACTTCCAGCCACCACTACCTTCACGCCCACCCAATTCTGCTACCGGATTGAACCGTCACGGCCTCCGTCCAGATAAGGGAAGCGAGCTGGAGAAGGCAAAAAACGAGCTAAGTCCTGGAAGCTTTATAAGACAAACGCGACGGGAAGGGGGCGTAAAATATCAGGTAATAAAATGAAAGGCGACAAATGAGAAAGAACGGGCATTAGAAATGACGCGATAGCAAAGAAAGAGACTGTTTCTTCCTCCTTTGCAACAGCAGTAACTAGAGATCTGGGGTCGATATTGACCTGCTAGGTCCTAGCAACGTTGGACGTGGACTCTAAATGGATCGACGTGGATCTCCCAGGGAGCCTTCTAGCGGGGCAGGAGATGAATGGAAGCCACGCCCACACGCAAAGCGGGGCGGGAAACGAATGGAAGCCACGCCCACACGCAAAGCGGGGCGGGAAACGAATGGAAGCCTCGCCCACACCCAAAGCGATACTGCCAAACGCAGTGCTTTGAACGTGTAGAACCTACTCGCGAGTAAACGTGTAGGTTTACCGGAAGCAAGCAAGTGGCAACGATTAAAACTGGCATGATAAAATCCACCCCACTCCTGGCCCACGCGCTGCAAAACCTCTAGCTTCCAACTGTGTCTGAAGGGAAGCCCCATATATTGCAAATTTGTAAATTAGCCCAGATACAGTACAGCATGGATAACGGGCCCAGACATCTTCTAAAGATGGAGTTGCCACACCGGTGAAAGTTGACATAAGACTTTATGTGATTTACTAATACCTTCCGCACATGCAAGCAGCGATGATGGGTTTAACAGCAACCTCTGAATTTGTTCCGTAAGAAATTCTGATACTGTCTGAAGCAGGCCACGTAACACTTTCCTGGTTTCATAAGCCGTTGGGCACCACTAAGAATGTTCAACTTTCCATTTACAACCAGAACATGAAATGTAATCATGATATTGTAGTGGGCGGGCAGGGAGGCAGAGAAAAAAATCAGACAGGAACATTCAGAAGAGCTGCTGCTTTTCATCGCTGAAAGAAATATATTGAAGCTTTGTTTCTAACCTGTCTTCAGAGAGACACTAGGCAAACAAAATTAGCAATAGTAATTGCAGTTGTAGAGAACACACACAATATGGCAGAATTGCTTTTTAAAAATAGGATCCCTCTGTTCCAACTTGACTCATATTTGACAATTCAACCAGTAAAGCACCTAGGATTCTCCAGGAATTTTAATAAGCAGGATGCATATGGAAGTTTATAATTAAAATGCATTTTTAAAGTAATACTGTTTGGTTAGCTTAAAAGGGAAAGATAAAAGGTGGTTAACTATCAAAAGACCATTAAGAACAACATAAAACCATTTTTAAAAGTTGGAATTCTAGTTTCCTGCCCAGTTGGAATTTCTAGTTTCACACAAGGCTGCAGTGTGAAGCTGAGTGTAGTAGTCCTCTAAGAAATGTGGGGCACCACCAGAAATTGCCCTGCACAGGCAAGCTGAGGATGTATAAATCTAATGCCAGTTTAGAACAATGCTAGGAGGAAAATATTGCCTTCAATGTCCTCTTTGTGGTCTTCTCAGAAGCCTCTGGAAAACAGGATACAGCATTGGTTGGACCATTGGTATGATCCAATTGGCCTACTCTTGCACATTTAATAGAATTTCAAAGTCTCCGCTCAGATGATGCTTTGTTATGATCAAACATCCAGGCTGTTGATCTCTGCAGAGCTATTTTGCTGATCCAGCAAAATAGCTACGAACACCATCCTAGTTAATCAAGCTCAGCAAATAGTAGACTATGAAGAAAATGCTGTCAGCCTACAGTAGAAGTTATTGACTTTGGCAGACAAGGTTTATATATTACTATGGCTTCCCTAACCCTGTGCCCTCTACAGTTGTGAACCAGAACTGCCATCAATTTGTATAAATGAGACACAGTATGGAAGTATTACCAACCATCACCATTCTTTTCAATTGGCCATGACATCCATAGTTGTAGTCTTTAAATCATCTGAAGGACACCAAACTGAATCCTGGGTTTAACATTTCAGCACCTCAGTTTGTGACCACTACTCCATAAAAAGCCATTCTAGATGTTGGAGCAAGAGCAGTCCCTGGATCATCCTTACTGCACTCCTCTGAACCCTTTCCAGTTTGTCTCCATCTTTCTCAAACTATGATTACCAGGATTGGACACAGTACTCCCTTTGCCAGTGCTGATTAAAAGCAAACTAGTACTTCACATGATTCAGCCCCACTTGGCTTATGCATTTTCTTCTCTGGCTTTCTGGTGATCTTGAAATGTCCTTCTGTAACTGATCCCAAAGTCATTCACCTCTTTTTCAGTTTAAGACTACCAGTGTCCTCTTTAAACCCTTAAACTGGATTCTTGCCAACATCAATGCTCTATCTTTACACAAATCCTTACATGCAAATTGTTTTGCAGTTAAAGCTCATCTTGAACAAACAAAAAGCAGCAAAGAGAAGTAAAACCATCCCCCTCGAAGCTCGGAAATCAACCACAATAAATTTTAAAAACCTTAGAAAAATCGCACTACACAGGGAAAAGTTAAATTTTCATTTATTAGGCAGACAATATGAATAATCACTTCGATTTCTGACTTTGTGCTTGTGCCTTCAACACTTTGACCACAATCTTCTGTTCCTCAATAAGAAAAGCTCGTTTGATCCTAGAGAGGAGAAAAGGTTCTGTTAATATTTCAACATCATGAATCACCGCTAACACACAGGATGCTTTTGAACAAGCCCACAGAAACAAGCCCTCTGTTTCCTTGGTCCCCTTTTTCCTTTCACATGCACAGCCTAATGAATCATTTTCTGCTTTGATCATGCTAGTTTGCCTGGAAGTTGGTTTCTGCAACATTTGCAACAAAGCTTAAATGTGAAAGAGTGAATCTGCAGTTCAAAACATCTGTCAAATACTTTATGTACAAATCTAATTTTTCACTGTTTATTGGAAGTCATTGGTTTTAAAATGCTATTAGTGTAATTTCTTTATAGGCCAACTCAAAGTTCAGAAAAAATGTTAGCTTTCCAGATGTCTTCACTAAGCAAGAAATTATAAACAGGTATTGGGGTGGACAACCAGGCTAATTTGACATGAAAAAATCTTGAGACTTCAAAAGCTTACGTATTTTCTGTGCCCTTTGGTTTGACGTAACAAAGGTACTATGCTAATATAAATGCAGGCCATTTTCTGATAGCCAATTTGGCTACTTTTGCTTTTTTACAAACTGGATTTAAAGAATTACAGTAGCTTGAAGTTGGCTTGTTGATTGGTATAGTACTGCTTCCATTTGGAAAACTATTTTTGTCAGGCTCAGCAATCTGACTGTCAAGACATACAGTCATACACAACCAGGTTAAATGTTCCTATGGGTAGACAAATTTGTTGCATTTACAGAAGTTACCAATTGCTTAATCAATACATAATGAAACACTTCGGATTACAAAGATCCGGGGCTTTTTTTTTTTGTCATAGAACATACCGGAACAGTTCCAGCACCTTTTTTTGACAGATTTTTCCAATGGATTTTTCCAAGTGATTTTGAGTCGCCCTGTCGAGCGTAGGTTGGGGGCAAAAATCATTAAAATAGTGCATGTGGGCTGCTTGTGTGTCCACGCTGATTGTGAGGGCGCTGCTCGGCTTGGGATTGGTCATGTGGTTGCTCGCTGAGTGCTTACTGCTGGCGGCGACCATTATGTTTCTGTGTGTGTAGAGTGACCAGCTATGTGCAAAATGTAAATAAGTTCTTTATGTCAAAAAAAAAGTTGGTGAATTGAAAATCTTTTTTAGTGTAAAAGTGTGACCCCAAGGCGTGAGTTCCGACACTTTTTTTTTTTTTTTTACAAAAAAAGCACTGCAAAGATCACTGGACTGTTTTGCATTCTTGGATCAGCAATCTGAATAAACCCAAGTCCTTAAAATTGCTTTTGTTAAAGCACAGAAGACATTGGAGAGGGATCAAGACTACCCTTATATCAGGCTGCACTGTCATTTATTTGCAAGAGCATCTTCACATGACTTCCAGCCACACCTGGAAGTGAGATAGCTGTGAACATAGCTCATTATCCCCAAGATATGGTCTAACTACATCATGACAAGCCATCCTAGAATTGCATTAATGGTATAAAGGCAAGAACTGGGTCTTCTGCTGCTGACAGCTTTTCAAAACCTCCTTGTCACAGGCTGTCATGGATGAAAATCAACACAGGCATTTTAATTTAATTGCCCATTAACTTGTTAAAGTTATTACATTCCTATTTCATAAAATAAAGCCTGCGACTCCATTTGTAAAATGTGTTTGTCTTTTGTTATCAGTTTCTCAAAATAGGAATAAACTTATGCTTAGAAAGATAACATCACCTCTGCAAAAAGTTTAGTGCAGAATTCTACAGAAATATTGTTAAAATTTGGGACTGACAAGAAACTATCAATTAACAGTCAAAAACTACTGCCTATGAACTTCAGCAGAATGATGCTTTACCTATCACGAACACATTTAGCACACATGGAACCACCATAGGCTCTGCTAACATGCTTCTTTGTTTTGGACAGCCTCATGAGAACTTTAGGGCGAACAGCACGAACCTGTAAATACAATAATACGTTTCTTTAAGACTAACACATGATGTCTATGATTTAAAATATAAGCATTACAGTGCCCATTTATAGTGAGGCAGCTATTTAGGTTTCCAAAATCAAGGTACTCAAGTATTATAGGTACAGGCACATTGTTGAATCTGAGTATCATTTCAAAATTATTCCCAACACTTTAGACAAATTAAATCTGTTTGGGGAAAAAAAAGGAGAGCAATACTAGGTAGGTCAGCTATAATACAGTTTTAAAAGTTGCATCTGGGGGAGACGATGCTTTTTGTCTGAAAAAGCTTTGCAAAGGTGCTTCGTCTAACCAAGCTTCAAAGGGATTGAAAAACAACTTAATTTTGAAGTTCTAATTAAGGGTGCAATCCTATGAGGATGCCCATAACTCTTCAAACAAAAAAATAAAAAATGGGTTACAGACATCCTATGGAAAGTGGGGGAAGCATAGAGGTAAACATCACCTCTGTTTTCATTCTGCAAAGCACGGACAATACTGGCCATTTAAGTAAGGAAATTCAGAGCAGGAGGAAATGACTGATAGCAGGATAAGTCATATCTGGGCGGCACCCATCTTCGACTCTTCATCTTTATACAACCCCAAATGTCCTCCTTCAAGGTAGCTGTTATCATCTCAAAAAAGTTGTGGGTGCATTTCTATCCTTATGAGCTATGAAACAAGGTGGAGGGGATCAGAGCATGGATCCCCAACCCTTTGGCTAGAGCAAATTTTCAACCTTGTAGCTTGGAATCTGAAAAAGTCCTGTGACCATCTAGGTCAAGTGTGTTCAACCCGTGGCCCACATGCAGCCCAGGATGGCTATGAATGTAGCCCAACATAAAACTGTAAATTTACTTAAAACATTTGAGGGTTTTTTGCATTTTTTCATAACTTGATTGCACAGTTGAGCATGAACCTCATAGATAATGACATCGTGTTGCAATGTCACATAAAATAAATGTATGTATGCTCTTGCTATTTGTATGCATGGTGGTGGCAGACATCATGAAAATTATGCACAGACCCCCTTTTTTGCTGATCAGTTTTTGTTAGTGTGTATTTGATGTGCGGCCCAAGACAACTTTTCTTCTTCCAATGTGGCCCAGAGAAGCCAAAAGATTGGACACCCCAATCTAAATGTTGTCTAGAAGTCATAGGATTGTGCTGCCTGGCAGCTAGTGTACAATCTAGATTGTTAGTCTTACAATTACACCCTTAAAACAAAAAGCCAATAGGGGTCTATTCCCGCTTTCCCTTCAGCAGTAAAAAAAATGTACTTCTGTACAGTTTTTGCAAATCATCTCAGAAAAAGTTAAACTAGTGCTATGCCTGTCTGTTTTGTCTGCCTGCAAATTTAACAAATAAGAAAATATGGAAGATACTGCCTTGAAAAAGACTACCCAATTATTTCTTGTCATGAATCAGGTCAATATTTATTCTGGCCCAAAACACAATGGTCCACTGTGGCTTAATTCATCCATGATGGCTGACACCTGGCTTGGCCTTGTTATTTGAAACCAGGTGGTAGGGATTGTTTAGATAGCCCTCACATAATTCATGTTCCAGAAGTATCCATGTGTTGCCCACCACTAATTTTTCTGGAATGATTAAAAGATCAAACGGTCAAATACAAACTCAATAGCAGAAAGAGCATACTAAAGAGCTGCTCCAGCTCTAAACCAGTCCTGTAAATGCATATCCCTGTCAAATAATTGCCGTGATGCACTAGCCACTGACTTGGACAGCATGCTGGTTGGTAAACTATCAATATATAACAAATGTGCACAATACAGTCACCTACAAAACACTTTTGCATCTTCACAATGAAAAAATTATTTATCTAGGAGTCAAATATATCACATAGTCCCATACAAACTGGTCAATGTGCTACAGCTTGTGTCTTTCAGTAGGAAACTAGTCAAACCAAATGAAAGGGAACAGACTTACGCCACGAAGTCTTCCTGGGCAAACACCACATGCAGACTTTGGAGCTTTACCAACTTTCTTGGTATAAAGGTAAACGATCCTGTTACCTGGTGTCCGGGAACTGTAGAGATCAGAGAAAATAGTCATTTTATTGAAATATCAATTTAAAAAATACAGTTAATTCTACAATAATCAAGGTTTACTTACAGCCTAGTCTTGTTAGAGGCTGTGTTGTAGGAGAGCCTACGACGGTATGTCAGACGCTGGACCATTTTTATAGCTAAACAAGAAAGCAAACCAGTGTAAGAAAAAAGCTTTTAAAGAAAGAACATAAGAAAAGTTATCCCCCATCAAAAGCAACTATGCTTTCACTGGCATTATGTTCTTATGCTGCAGTTTACCAAAACAGTTAACAGCAGAATACATAGATTCTCACCATCATTACATCCTTATAAATAACTCCAGGAAGATTAATTAGTTCACAAACAAGATTAATTACTGACCCAGAATTCCCATGCTTTGCTGTTTTAAGTTCTAAATGACTTGTCAGAGAGCATCTATAGGTATATATCACCATATGTACCCAACTAGAACATTAGGTAACTTTCAAAAGGTCTGCTCTGGGTGCTCCTGCTGAAAGAAGTTAAAATGGTGGCAGAGGGAGGGACCTTTCAGTTGTTGTGTTCCATTTATAAAATGCTCTACCAAGGAGTCTCACCTAGCACTTACACTGCTGTATTTTCAGCATGCGATGAGAACTTTTCCTTTCTTATAAGCATATTAGAGAATTCATGTTTAAGGCATTATGAATGGAATTTTTCAAAATATCTTCATATCTATTTCTGTGTTGTCACTTGCATTACATTTTAACTCTTTGCACAGAGTATCTATACTGAATAGGGTATAGATATTCATAAACAACCCAGTGTAGCAATATTAAAGGGGCTCTGGAAATTTGGTTTCTATTCCCCACTTAGCCATGAAACTGATTGGATGATTTTGGGTAGGTCTAAGAATAAAACAGAAAGGAGGATTATGTTTGCTGCCTTGGTCTCTTCAGAGGAATGCAGAATACAAACAATGAATAATAAAAATCCACACTGTGACTCTGATCAAGTGATTACGCAAGGTCATAAACAACCTATTTTAAAGGAATAATGTAAACCGGCTTTAAAATGCTAAGGCACAATACTTACACATTAATAATAAGCGCATGAAAAACACATGAAAGGTTAAAATCAATCTTTTATCCTTTACACTTACAAGAAGTGCTACAATGACAATCCTATCTATTTATCCACAAGATCTAAATACCAAGGCAGTCTCTTCTACAAAGTTAAAGGAACATATACTATCAAAGTACAATAATCTGGCATGTCTGTCATATTTCCAAAGAACTTGATATATTAGGTAACCCATTTTTTTCCTCAATTACACCTGGCAGTCAGGTAAGGCTGAGGAAATGACCCAAAATGCCTGTTCAATGCAGTCTTCATGCAAATGAATACACACCAGAACTAAGCAACTCAATTCTATATCATTACTCAATACTATGTCTGCCATCTCACCAGCCCTGCTCTGCATAATATTTTATTATTATTATTAGAATATTTCTATGCTCTGAGGCACTACAAGCAAAAGGCTCGTATCTTTTTCTTAAGTACTAAATATTATAAAGCAAGGGCATCATCAAACTGAATGCCCCAGTGTTTACATCTGTTGCAGAAATAAAATGCGAACAAGCAAGCACCCAGAGAAGCTAAAAACAGAGCAAATGCCTTCTGTTTGCCTACATTTCTGGCAGTGCAAAGGAAGTCACAGCCATGAATTTAGAACAGCTAAAGCAAGGATGTCATGAAAAGGCCATTTTGGAGATTTTTCATTCAAAGAAGCGCCATTAAGTTGGAGACGACGTAAAGGCACATAACAACACTTCAACAGCGACTCAGGGAAAGCACTTCAATATGCTCCACATTATCTACGTTCGGCTTGAGACTCGAAGGCCTCGTTCAAACCCGCACCCGGCAAGCGGAAAGGCCTTCGGCTGGGACTCCACTGAGACCACGGCCTCGTCCTCCATTCCCCAACATCTGCCCTTCCTTCCACGCCTCAGAGGCTCAGTCACCCACAGCTCACCCTCAAAGCTCGCCCGAACCTACGACACCACGGATGGAAACGGATTGAATCTAACTCTCCCCGCAGAAGATAGAAGACATCAATCCTACCTAAAGTGGATGCCGGTACCGGAAAAGGAAGAAAGAAGATGCGTGTGGGTCAAAGTTAAAGCACTGGCATCAGGAACCGGAAGTTCAATGTTCATTCTGTTCTTGGAGGATCGAAGGGCGCTGCCATCTTGTACGGCAGATAGACGAGGGTGATTTTTGTCGAGTGAGGGAGGCTGAGCTGAAAGAAGAATATAATCGTTAATTGTTTTCAGCTGGGGTTTTTTTGGGTCAAAATAATACATGTAATCCATATTTTTTGCAATCCTATATAAGCTTGTTCAAAAATAAGTCTCACTGAGTTCGGTGGGCTTACTTCAGCCTAAGTAACTGATGGTGAAAGATATATTGTAAGATGAAGTATGGTATGGTACTGTGGTATTATTGTATTATTGCTATTATTAAATCATAAGCATCCTAGCAGACCAATCCAATTTAGTTACATGTAAATCTCATTTGGTCCCATAACTATAGAATTGTGAATTTACAAATCAGCATGCATAGGACTGTAGCCTGATGTGGGAATAAAACATATTAAACCACTTGCAAGCAAAACCTTTTAGATGCAAGCTGTTGTACTCCATTCACTTTATTCAGTCAGAGCATATTTAGGCAGAAATATGCCCAGTGTACTGAGCTCAAAATGTTTGTATCATTAGTAAAAGTTTGTGCAGGCTGCAGTCCTGTAAGTCTTTGGACTCTACAATGTAAATTTTATTTTTATAGGCAGCTTTACACTTCCCTTCAATGTTACCTGGATGGCTTATAAAAATTGAGCATCAACTAAAATATTTAATACATCTTAAAAGTTATACATGCACAAAACAAAGGCTGAATTAAATTTAAAAGCCTGGAAAAATAAGACACTGAAATGACATGTATACAATTCTGTTCTGGTTGGATGCTGAAGTTCATAAATACTTCTTTTCTAATCTTCCATTGTAGCAATGTAAAGGTTTTTATGCATCATTAACAATGCAGTGAGTGGATTTTTTTTCTTCAGTCTTTTTATACCATTCTCTCCTCATTCCCTCTTTCTCTTTTTGCAGAAAGTGTTTTGCTGTCATACATTGTTTCATTAGTAACATAAGGGACTGACTATAATTCCAGTTAAATTAGGTACCTGAATGTATATTATAGTAGTTAATGTAAAATTAACTTGTAATTACTTTCCTTGCTCCCAACAAAAACAATAATTCCTCCGACACCTGAAAGGCTAACACATTTAAGTTGCAATCACAAATATGTTGCCCTGTTGCTTTCAGTTTAAGTGCTTTTAATTTTTGGATTTAAAAAAGTGCATATATAGCACAAAATTAATATTCAGTTTTGCTTTAAGTTTTATAGAAGCAAAATATACATGTTAAAACAGATCTCCATCAGTTCACCATAGAGGAAAATTGTCAGGGAAGCCAACATCACTGAAGCACAGGGTGCTGAATAATGAACAGGTTGGCAAATGGCCACCAGGGATACAAGCCAAGCAGCACAGGACACCAGCTTGCCCTTATTACATATCATGTTCTTCCCTGTCTCACCTGCTATAATCCATCAGGTGACTCCTAGATTAAGGACATTGCAGCTGTTAGAATTTTCCAGCCAGCTGTGCTCATTAACCATAAACTACAAAGAGAAAAGTAGGAAAGAGGAGGGAGGGATAACTTGCCTTGTTGCTAAGCAACATACAAGCATCTCATGTTCCCACTATAACCCAGCAATGAAAATGATAGTCTTCTTGTTGCCTAGCAACTGAGAATGTGATTTCTTTACCCAATTCTGCCTTTCAGGCTTCAGGCCTGGACTGGAAAGTTACATTTCTGTTTTTGCAGCAGTTGATGGTTTGATGGCCGTGACAGGAATAAAGATAGCAGTGCTTCCCTCCAACTCCTGCCCTGCCCCCTCACATATCAGCTGAGGTAACTTTTTAGGACCTAAAAATAGGAGTGATCAATCAGAATAGTGCTAACATACCCTGATCTAAAGGCTCCTTCACTTCAAAATGTGGCTAGATGTATAGGTCTGTTTGGGGTTTGTGCAGCAAAAGCGAACTTTAGTTCCTCTGAGATTTCAAAAGAAGGGTAAACCCAATTTGTTCCATGAATCTGTTCATTTAGGATATTTAGATGCATATATATCTCCTTTGGTCTGAAAGGTGTACAGAAAAGTAAAAAAGCAATACAAGCAAAGAACAAATAAAACAAATCTGTTATAAAAGATTATATGGGAAACCATCTAGAATCTAGAACATCTATAAGGCCTTGGCAAATGAAAATGTCTTCACCTGACACTGGAAAAACACTAGGTCCAGCACCAGGTAAGAATATTTCAGACCGAGAGAACCACACTACAAAGTTTTCTCTCTGGGACTTTTCCTTTGAAAGTGAAGGGAAGGCAGGGTCACAAGAGAAGGACCTCTGCAACCATCTTAATTCTCAGGCAGGACCATGTGTGACTGGGAAGAGATTGTGTGTGTGTTGTGTAGACATACAGTGGATAGTAATTCCCCACTGTGAACAAATGAATGAACACCTAGCTAGAGATGTGCACCCAGGAAGCATTTGTACAAGATGGGAATCTTTAAAAAATCTTTTTAAAAAACCCACACTAAACTAAAAGTTTACCATGTGTTGTAGAGTAGAAAAAAACCAATAGCAGCAAGCACTATTCACTGTTCAGTAGATATTGAGAACACTTATGCAACCACATTGTGTACTCCCATAGGAATGTATGTATTATCTGATAAATTTCTCCCAAATTAAAGAGAGTGTGCTTAATGGTGTGTAAGGCAAACCTTTGTTTTTAATTTCTGGTAATGATTTAAAGTCTTTCTCTCTATTTTCACATTCCAGCTTAGTGCTTATTCCAGGTTTTGGTGGCCCATTGATAAGTTGCTTATATGGCACATCTTATTCATGCTTAGACAGAAAAAGTGCTACAAGTTCCAGTATTCTCCTGCCAACTTGGAGCTATAGGCCATTTTCCCATCTAAGGACACAATACTATAGGTGGTTAGGCAGAAAGTCCTGCAACTCCCAGCATTCCCTAGCCAACATGCTGGGAGTTATAGCTTTTCCATTTGTTTAAAAACACTTCGGATCACACTCTTAATAGGGCTTTGTTCCTTGAGTGCTTCCACCACTCTTTTGCTGCCCATTCATTTGCCTTTCTGTTTGGGCTATCTGTACAACCTCCCAGAAAGAGCAAACAAAGCCCCAGTGGTCGAAGAGAAGAAAGTTACCAGGATTGGCAGTGGGTTGCCCTTTTGTAGCATAGGCATTGGGAAGTACTTCATGATGCCAGCCCAGCACCAACCATAAGCACAACCAAGATCCTTCTCTCTTTAAGCTTTTCGCAGATGTTTCTGTTATCGTATGCCAAGTGATGATGGTGACCCTGTCAACGAATGCCTTCCAGAATGTCCTGTCCTTCACAGCCCTGCTCAGTTCTTGTAAACTCAAAGCTGTGGGTTTCTTTATGGAACTGATCCATCTCATAATTGGTTTTCTCCTTCTTCTTTTTTGCTCCACCTTCCCTAGCATGATTGTCTTCTCCAGTGAGTGTCCAAAGCACGACAGCCTCAGTTTTGTAACTTTTGCTTTTAAGGAAAGCTCTGGCTTGATTTGATCCAGAACCAACTTGTTCATCTTTAATTGTGGGTATCTTCAAATCTCTCCTGCAGCACCATTTTTCAAATGCATCAATTTCCTTCCTGTCAGCTTTCTTCACTCTGCAGCTTTCAGTGAGGGCTTTAACCCACTGCAATATTGAGGATGCTTCTTCTGTTTTCTTTGGGGTGGGTTGGAAAATGCACCATTTACATAGTTTCCTCTCTTGTGGGACTTCCATATTTCTTCTTTTTATATATATTCTGTCAACTGAACACAAGGTGGCACTGTAGTATAGTTGGGGTATAATAGATTTGCAGCAATGCCCCGGATTTTGTCCCAGTTTGTTGCAATTTGAAATATAATAGCCCTTTCCTCACTTTATGCACCCCATTAGAAAGGCTGGAAAATGTGGGAAAGTTTCTGGAGACTGGCAACATCAAGAAAAGCTCAAAGGCAGACTTAAATAGGCTTCTTTTGCCTTGCACTGCACAGCAAATGCTCCTTAAATGCGTAGATGTTTTTGTGCTCACGTTAGCTCCAGCCAGCATTGTCAGTGCTCAGAGATGATGGGAACTGTAGTTTAACCTCTGAAGGCTTCCAGTTCTCATCCTTCTGAAGGATGTTCTGACATCGAAGTGCATGAGTCTCCCTTGATGAAATCTACAGGTCTTAAATTCAAAGCATTTCAACTTTCATGAGGACATGGTAGCTCAAAAATAAGCTCTTTCCATCACCAAGTTCTGATGCCATCATTAGCTGCTTCTGCTTTCGTTTTTTAAATAACGTGATTTCAAAAATCTTTGAAGTGTGTTCACAGCCTTATTTATAAATTTATAACTTAAAGTTTGTTGTGAAGTAGCTTTTCTGCCTGATATCTATATAATTACTATTTTGGTTAATTATTGGCTGTTTTCAAATGCAAATTTTAGACACCAACGATTCTCAGTCTCACGAAATAATGAGAAAAATATGTATGAACTAGATATGCAAGCTCATTTTAAAAGAAACACATTTTAGACCACAAGTGGGTTTCAGAGCAATTAGAGTATTTAATTTGAACTTTCTGGGTCCAGAACCCTAAGGGGAGGAAAGAAACCAATTAAATTAAATTAAATAATAATGCCCTAAATAGAAAAATGTAACAGGATCCAATTGTTAAAGAACAACACTTAAATTGCTGATAAAGGAATTTGGAAATATTTTATAAAGGCAACACTTTACCACTGTATTAATATCTTAAACAATAGTGCTGATGTTAGTTGGACATGACAGATTTGGGCCACATGTTCAACCATCAGAAATCCTACATTAAAAGAGAAAGAAGATGTCCTAGAAATTTTGAAGTAGAAAAGAATTCCCATTTTACTTAAAAAAAAAAAACTTGAGCCAAGTATTTAAAGTATAACATGTACAATATATCTTAGAGACTTAAAGTACAATCCTGATGTGATGATCTTAAATCCCCAAACTCAGAGGC